TAGCTTCTTGTTCCTACTAGTAAGGCCAAGAGCTACTAGTAGCGTCCGGGTTCGTTTTCTGCCAGGTGCAGCAAATCCTGCTTCGAGTGCTGCCTCGCAGCCCGGGCGATGCGCGATGGGAGGTGGAACAGAAACGTTCTCTGGGGACCCGGTAGGGCAAAGCTGAGTTTGGGAGAGAGGCAGAGGGCACTGCAGAGTTAGTTCCCCGGTCTTCTTTGCTTTGCTGAAGACTGGCCTTCAGATCTGCTTAACCCCCAAGGAGTCCTCATAAACCTTCACTAGACTTTTGCTCTTCTCCGGCCCATGGGAGAAACCGTGAATGATGAGCTTGGCAGGTGCCTGAAAGCGTTTCGGAGCAGTTCGCGTTTTTGCAGGCCCGGAAACGTACCGTAGCAATGTAGAAGCGAGGTAGATCAGATCCAAGAATCACGGGCCATTCCTATCAGGTTGGAGGCCATCGCTAGTAGGTTGAAGGCCATCGCTACTAGGGTGGAGGCCATCGCTACTAGATTGGAGACTTAAAATTGTTGTTTTTGCTCTCTTGCAAGACTTTGATTTCAGTTCGAGACCACTGTTGGGACTTCTTCATTTTCCCACCATACCCCGGTGCTTGATATTTTGCCACTTGGCTCAAGCAAACCTGACACCTGCTTGACCGGATCTCAGCGATCCCTTCCGAGCTGTTCCTGAGTTGCGTTGGCGTCAGGGCAGTGATCGGATCTCGGCGCACCGAACTGCGAAGTACTCCGCTGACTGTTCGCTACGAACGGGGCTCCTGGAAACGCTACTAGGAGCGATCGGACGCTACTAGGGGCTCCTGGCCGTACTACTAGGAACAATGTTTGCTAATCGAAACAAGAAGCTACTATTAGAGTTAGAATTAGAATTTAATTAGAATTGAAACTAGAAGCTACTAGGACACCTTCGCAACGGTTCCGTCCAACTGTAGATTTCACTCAACTGCTTCAGACACTTGTTCCCGGCGAGAAGTGATGGGCAATGACCTAGCACCCGGCGTTTAAACCGCATTTGTGGCCAAGACGAGGGGTTCGATTTGGTGGGTCGTTTGGGTCGCTCCATGTCAATCCATGTCAACTCGGGCACATGGTCCAAGTCGCCTAGTCGGACCATGTCGACAAAGGCGCCGGCCGATTTGCCTCGCTCGGACGAAAAAGGCGTCTCATCTTTCCTTGGTGCCTGTCGTGGAGCGGCGTGCTATCCTCAGAGGGTGCCGTTTTGCATCGTTTTGCTCTATGTGTTTCGATCAAGACCAACTCCACCAACGAACAGCCCAACTTTTGCAATTTTTTCTCCAGGAGAAACCAACTACTTTGCTTTATTTTGGTCTTTGAGAAGAAAGGGATTCCTCTATAGATGGATGTGATGTTAGGTTGGTGAGAGACGTGAGAGACCTAGATCTCGCAGACCGTGGCGTTGCGTGGGTCTGAGGATGGCAGCAATGACTGAGATGCCAATGAGGCTCAGTGGTCGACAAGGTTTACGAGTTGATCAAATCAAACCTAAAAGCTTTGGCCTCCACCCTACTAACGATGTCCAACCAACTAGCGATGGCCACTCGGGATTACGCGGCGCGAAACGGCGCGGCGTTTCACTCGTGTCTCGGCCAAAGGAGCACCTTGAGCAATGGGAGTAATTCCAGCTTGGGCAGCACGATCTCATCAAGCTCTACCGTTCGCCCAAGCCTCACAAAGGGGGGAAATGCAGCAACGATGCTGTCGCGAGTAGCAAAGGATAGCAAAGACATGACCACAAACATTCAGTTCACCGTTTGTGCTTTGAACTCGACCGAACATCAGACAGATCGGACCTGTTTGCGCGTGGGTGGACATGGCGAGGAAGTGAGCCGCGCCAACTGCTGCTGCTTTTGTCTAGTTGGGGCTCCGAGCAGACACGGCCTTCGGATGCCTTCGGCATTATTTTTCTTGACGAGCCTGAATGCTCTACTTTTTCTTGACCGCACTTACTCGTACATAGCGAAACGATGCAAAACGACACAAAACGTGTTCCATTTGTTAGAGGTTCCCTTTTTTTCCATTTTGTTGCCTGAGGCCGACGGGTGGAGACTGCATTGAGGCGCTGAAATCGATAACAGAGTCTTTTGAAGCACCTCTTCCACGGGACTTGGGCCCCATTTAAACAAGGCAGCCGTTTTTGCTCTTAGGTTGGAGGCCATCGGCAGTAAATTGGAGGCCATCACAATTAGAAACAAAATCCACGTGTACATTTCCACTATGAAATGGGAGGGGTATACCTATGTATATTTTGTTTTATGTCCCCTACCCCTTGGAGGGGTCAGGTTCTGATTTTATAGAGAAATTGTGTGTGTATGGTGTTGCCGCTACGTTTCCACTGGAGTTTCAGCACCAGGAAAACGGCAAGCCAGAGGAAGCAACAAGAAACATCGTATAATAAAATGTTAGGGACCAAGATCTTCAAAGATCAAAACATACTTGGAAGCTTTTGGGATGCCAAGCAGACATACTTGGCGTTTGAAAAAGAAAAAGGGCTCTTTGTCAAGCACTCAGTACCACTGATTTGTGATCAGTCACATATGAAATTCAACGTCAGGTGAGGTCATTTTATGTAAATGCTGTGGAGGTCAGGTTCTTCAAATTAGAGTACCCCTGGGGGTTGGCTCCACCGTTTTATAGTTGTATATCTATAAATTGGGGGTATGGACCCCCCCAGAACTTGCACGGGGATGAAACAAAGAACAAATAAAAGGAAGACAGGTCTAACATAAGTTTGTGTGTTTCTTTGTTTCTGTGGACTTGGGCCCCCTTCAAAAGAAATAGAACAAATATCAAGAAAAGAAGGAAGACATGCCCAAAGAAAGAAACAACGAAAGACAGAACAAAAAAAAGAACAGCCGTATTAAAGAGTGTGTTTTCCTTTTTCCCGCAAAGCACCTTTCAGCCATTGGCGTATAATGAAGACAGCTGATCCTTAAGCTAATCCACATGCTCTGAACATGTCACATTTCCATGCTTGTGCGATATCGCAAAAACTGCCATGCCTGTTTTGTAGGTTTTCTAGACGCACACTATGTCCCTTACTTTAAGCGTTTCCCTAGAAATCTAGGGACCAAATCATTGGTTTCAGCGCTTCTTCAATGAAGCTCCCCCCACCCTAAGGCGGGGGGAGCTTCCTTGAAGCGTGAGCTATCCTGCGTCCATATGTAGTAGCTTAAGTAGCTAGGAGCGAACAAGTTTGTCAAGTAAGGGCCGGCAAAAAAAACGAAACACGTCACACCCACGTCCATTTCAAGCAAGTTCCGGTAGGTCAGCACAGGATCAGTTGAAGATGAAGATGAATAAGGCCGGAGACTGGGTTCGGGTCAGAGAAAGATCGCCACTGCGAGAATGGATCGCCACTACGACAACAACTATTTGGCCTTGATTTCAAGTTGATACAAAGATTAATAGCTTCTTGTTACTACTAGTAAGGCACCTGTTACTACTAGCGTGGCACCTGTTACTACTAGTAACAAGAAGCTACTTAGCCTTTTTGAGTAAAGTTTCTTCTTGACTTTTTGGCCAGGATTCCTTGAGCCTTGGAAAGTTGCTCAAGATCATCGCGGAGGTGTCACTTGGCGCCTTCTTTCGGATCGACATGGCGCCAGATCGACAGACATTGACATTTGATCGACATCTGAGGCATGCCTTGTGGAAGCTTCGAGATCTCTGGGGATCAAAGCCGGACGAATCTTGGGGAGTTTTTCTCCTGAAACAGCCAAAGCTTTTAGGTTGGAGGCCTTCGCTACTAGGTTGGAGGCCATCGCTAGTAGGTTGGAGGCCTTCGCTACTGCTAGTAGGTTGGAGGCCATCACTTAGGTTGGAGGCCATCGGTTGGAGGCCATCGCTCTTAGGTTGCCATCGCTCTTAGGGGAGTAGGTTGGAGGCCATTGCTATTGGGTTGGAGGCCATTGCTGTTAGTCTAGAGAGGATCTCTTTTTGGAGCGCAATTTTTGCTCAGGTTTTCCTTGATCGTTTATCGCAGACCTTGGGACCTGGATGCCGATCAGTTGCTCTGCTTCAAGTCGAGGACACAAGAGAGCACAAGAGAGGCGTCAGGTTTATAATTTTATGTGCAATGCCAGTGGCAACCAATCCACTTCAGACAATGTGGAACATTGTGCAACCATCCACTTTAAGCAAGTCAGAGGAACATAGTGAAGCCACTGCGACAGGTCCCCATCCGCTGAAGACTTGTTTCATCCTGTTCTTTTTGCTGCCGGCGTTGCATCTTCCCGACTTTCTTTCAGACAAAGAAGCAGCCCTTGTTACTAGTAGCGATGCACTTGTTTCTAATAGCAAACATTGTTACTACTAGTAAGGCACCTGTTACTACTAGCGTGGCACTTGTTACTACTAGCGTAACACTTGTATAAGTCTTCAGTGTTTCAGTGATTTTGGCAGAGAATTTGATGTCGAAGGACTGGCGAGCAGTGAAGGACTTGTGCACAGGAAGCTCAACAGAGCTTTTGAGACGCTTGGCTAAATTTGACTTCTGTGGTGTGGGGTGTTCCGCCATTAAATGGCAGTCGCATTTGTTTGCACAAGGAGAATCTTGTTAGACCAGTTTTGCAGAGCGATCTGATCTTTAACATCTCCTCCATGTGAATGTTGAATTTTTGCTGAGGTGACTTGATCGATGCGGCCTTGTGCTTCCACCACAGCCCAACACCTTTGCAAGTGCTTCGTCTTTCCACTGTCTTGGATCGTCTAAGGTGAAAGAGAACGTAAGCGAGACTCATCGGATTTATCTGTCAGTCTCGGATTTATGTCTGCTTCGTGTCGGGAAGCGGAGAAGAGTAGAGTGGCAAGTCACAAGGAGAGTCAGTAGGATGTGAGAGCCAACTTTCGTGTGGCCGTTGTGGCCCCGGCTTAAAGGTTGGCAATGGCACCACCCGATGTGCCCGTTTGCAAACAGTTCAGTTTAGCGCGATACAGAAAGAACTCTCCTCCTTTTCTGCTTGTTCTCTCTACTTTTCCCAAAGAACTCTTCCGAACTTCAGAAAGAAGAGCATTCCCTCACTGCCTCCGCTGGGCAGCTTCTTATGCCGAAGTCCATGAGCATCAGAACCTCCCAGTGGAGTTGACTCCATTCGATCAGCACCGCGACTCTGCACGTGGGACTGCACAGGATGTCTGCTTGCACCAGGGTGTTTTAACTCCCGCCACGCTCAGTCAGTCTCTTCCCACAAATAAAAATACGCTCAGTGTGTTTTCGGAGCGATGGTATTTGGTTGCAGACTCAAGTTTCGTCCCGTTGTATAGATTGACTACAGCCTGCTTCACCCGTCTACGGGGAGCCGAACGTGAAGGGCGGAACACGGTCACGTCACGGGCGATGGCCATCTCGACCCATGCAGATCGGGACATTCTTCGGATGTGAACCTATAGCGGCCTCCAGCCAGGGACCTCCTTTTAGGACTCATTTTTCAGTCCAGGCCACTAACATCTCATTCTTTCGTAGACAACGGTAATGCAAAAACAACGAAAAGGAACCCCTCCGAAACGAACGGAAACGGCTTGAAATGGATCTGTGAGCTCCACAAAATGTCTTCGGAGGGACAGAGGGACAGGCCTCTCCAATTTGGATTTAGGCAGATGAAAGCTATCATGAATCATGAGCTCTTGGACGCTACTAGGGGCTCCTGGCCTCGCTACTAGGAGCAAGAACGCTACTAGGAACAAAGGGCATCGCTTCTAAGAACAAGGACGCTACTAGGGGCTCCTTTGGTCAACTCCGTTTGGACCTTTCACAAATCAATCACTTGAGAATCTCCAAAAGAAGGAATCCATTCGCAATGGCCTCCAACCTAGAAGCGATGGCCTCCAACTGCTCTAGCGGTGGCCTCCAACCTACTCGCGATGGCCTCCAACCTAGTAGCGAAGGCCTCCAACCTAAAAGCTTTGGCCTCCAACCTACTCGCGATGGCCTCCAACGTACTAGCTTCTTGCTACTAGTAGTGATGGCCTCCACCCTAGAAGCAATGGCCTCCTAAGAGTATGAATCCATTCGCGTTTTGGTGGCCTTGTGTTCCATCTTCACGCACACCACAGCGCCCCACGCATGCCATCGTGGAGGACCCCCCGAACTCGGCCTGTGGAGAATCTTCGCTGACATCGCCGTGCTGGTCCTTGACATGAATTGTACAGCAAACCAAATCCAACCGCCGTTCGGCAAACCACCGCGATTCTTGGTTTGAAATTTTGGCATTTCGGACTCGAATCAGATGCGAGCTCGTGCTCAGAAGAAAGAACATGCTAAGATGTTGCTTTTCTTCTGCAGATACGATTCTGGAGATTAAACCGAGTCTTGATTGAGTAAAACATCAAACAAGAATTCAAGGCTGGAGCTGGGTATGGATGTCAGATCCCTTTCATTACGAAGTGAGGATTCTGACTACCTTCTCAGCCGGCACCAATGAGTCCGTCAATTAAATTTCAAGGTCTCGGGTGGGGAATGTACTCGCCCGAGAGCTCGACTCGTCATCGACTTGTCATTTGTTGGGAGCGGGTCACTGCGGACACTGCTTTCTCCGTGGCACGAATTGATGGCCACCTGGTTGACTCGAAGTCAGACAGTTCTGTGGTCCCCTGTGGTCCTGGGTTCGGGTGACACGAACGGTTTTGGAAGGGCATAGGTGGCATAGGGCATGGATAGAGGGTTCGGGTGAAGATAAGGCTTGTAATTTGAAAATAACAACAAAAAAAAGAAGAACCTACTAGCAATGGCCTCCACCGTACTATACTAGTGATGGCCTCCAACCTAAGATTGATGGGCATGGATAGAGCATGCGAGGTTCGGGTGAAGATGGTGAAGAAAGGGGCTTTTTGCAAGGCCATGGCCAACCTGAACGCTCCAACCTAGGAGCCCGATATTCCACGAGGCCAACACCCAAGCATGAAGGGTTCAAATCAAAAGATTGACTAGGAGCGATCGGACGCTATGGACGGAGCAAAGGGCATCGAAACGAACGGAGCAAGGATGCTACGTTCGGGGCTCCTGGCCGTACTACTCAGCAGATCGAGATTAAGAGTAAGTTGGATTTTACCCAGGACTCAGGACAGACGGATGTGCTGCTCAGCGGAGATCGTTTTGCGGCGACAATGTGCCGCACTACAAGACGCACTCCAGAATCGCAGCAACACTGCGGAACGGAGAGCTCAGCCAGCCTTGTGTAGAGCACAGGCAAGCAACTAGACCTGCCAGCGCCTAGAGGACAACACATGCAGACCTTTAGAATCTTGAAGTGACAAGGTTTTGGTCTAGGAGTCTAGGATTTTCTTAGATTCGAAATAGACTATGGGTGTTAGCACTGTGTGGACTTGTCTATCGACTACGGCTATAGTGACAGTGGCTACGTCCCATCCGCACGGGCTTCTGTGTACGTCATGGGCTTTGCCGGTTCAAGTTTCAAGGCGCTGCTCATCGAAAGTGCCTGGATACCGGAACGTGGCCAGGCGAATCGTTGTGCTCCTTATTTTCCAATGTGCATTGATCATCGATATCTCTATATTCCGTTTGTTTATTGTGACATATGGGTGTCACCAAAATCCATTAATGACAAATCCCTATCAAAATACACACCCATATCCTGTACATACACCTAAAGCTTCATCTTTTGTGCTCTACTGCATACCACACTTGACAATGGCATGCATACTAAGCAGTTTGCGCATGTTCAAAAAGCCCAGCGGACTGCGAGGCTGCGCTAGACCTCCTGCGCGGCTGGCTTGGGGAAGGCTTGGACGAAACAGAAAGCTGAGCTTTTTCGGTCTTCCCTTAGAAGACCAGTATCAAAGACCAGTGCTCCGTACAGATCGAAAGAATGTCTTTGTGCACAGCACTTTGCTCACCACATGTAGAAAAAGACAAAAAGCTTGCTATTAGCTTGGAGGCCATCGCTCTTAGGATGGAGGCCATCGCTTCTAGGTTGGAGGCCATCGCTCTTAGCTTGGAGGCCATCACTAGTAGGTTACAGGCCATCGCTCTTAGGCCATCGCCCACGCTATTACACTATTATTTGTAAAACAACAAATAGTAACAAGAAGCTACTAGGGGCTCCTGGCATCGCTACTAGAAGCAAGGTTGCTACTAGGGGCTCCTGGCCCTACTAAGTTACTACTAGAAGCAAGTAGCTACTAGTAACAAGAAGCTATAGATAATTACTTCCTTTGTTGTTCTTGAATCGTGGATGCCAAAACGGCCTTCGCCGGGCCGACCAGGCGCACCTTTCCTCGTGAAGCAGTTTGCATCCTACTTTGCCTTGTGGCAGAGAGAGATGCTGCAGGCACCCCGCTGGGGGAAGACATTTGAACAAAACATTAAATAACGAAAAGAAACGAGCCAATGCAATGATCGAAGTAGGAAGGCTTGTCTATTTTTTCTTCAGCATATAGAGTAGAAGAAGCAGTGTTCTTCTTCGAAATGTTCGTTAGATTATTCTTCGAAAGGTGAGCCAGCAAGAAGTAGTTAAGCTAACGTCTTGAGTTCAATTTGGTTAGGTTGGAGGCTACTAGGAGCAAAGGGCATCGCTACTAGGCGCAAGAAGCTACTAGGGGCTCCTGGGCTCCTGGCCTTACCACTAGTAACAAAAAGCTACTAGGAAAAGAGAACGCTATTAGGTTGGAGGCCATCGTCTTGAGTTCGGTTTCACGACGTGTGAAGACGGAGCTTGTCCGCCAGGTCTCGAAAGGAACGGAGGTGGGGGACGGACAGGGTGGACGCTGCTAGGGGCTCCTGGCCTCGCTACTAGAAGCAAGTGCATCGCTTCTAGTAACAAGTGCCTTACTAGTAGTAACAAGAAGCTACTAGGAGCAAAGGGCATCGCTACTAGGAACAAGAAGCCACTAGGGGCTCCTGGCATCGCTACTAGAAGCAAGGACGCTACTAGGGGCAAGGAACGGAGGTGGTGGACAGGGTGGGATCTCGGGGACATCACGGACACCACGGAGTTCGTCGCAAGGCCATGCCTGAGGTGGATGACATCATCTTGGAGTCAGCAACTTATGGCTTCCAGCCGATGCAACTGGTGTATTTCTTTAAAGACAAAGAACACGAGACGACAGGGTGGCCCGAAAGCACAGCAGGAGATGACAGAAGGTAACGATGAGGATGAGGGTTGAAGATGATGATGATCATGACGAGAATGATGGTGATGGTGATGATGATGATGATGCTGCTGCTGGTGGTGGTGGTGGTGGTGGTGATAATGGTGATGAGGATCACAGCGGTGCTAATACCAAGCCGTGTGTGCGCCGCCAATCATCCCGCTCCCCATTGACACGCCGATTTTACACCAGCATGTTTCCTTCCCCCAATGGCACGGACTCACGGAAACGCACTTTCCACCGAGGCCCCGCAAAAGCCACATGGTACAGCGACATCACACACGTAATTTGGCCACAGGATGTGCCACAGACTAGCTAGATACAACAATGCAACACCAAGCCTCGAGGACGCCGCCAAGCATCCCGCTCCGCAGCGGCGCGCCGCATTTTTACCAGCATGCTTTCCTTCCCCTAGTGGCACGGACTCACATACACGCACGTGACACATCGTGACACTTTGGCAACGCGGCAACCTCCACCGTCGTTTTCGACGACTGTTGTGCACGTTGGCCACTTCCACCATCGTTTTGGACGACAGTTGCACACGTTCGCGCATTCGACTCACATGATCTCTGCAGAGGGCTCCTCGGGCACGATCGCGATTTGCATAAGCATGAAAACCACAGTTTTGCGCATCCGACGCACGATCTCCGCAGAGGGTTGCATTTCGATAGCATCGGGTCGGGCCGGCCAACCCGCCGCCTTCAGAGTAATTGTGAAGATTTTGAAGTTGCAGTTGTGTAGATGAATTTTGTAGATGTCCCCACCTAGATCTTAACACCTGTATCACCTGTATCTCAACACCTGTATCAACTATACCTCCACACCTATGTCTCAATACCTGTATCAAAGCACCTGCCTGTATCTATGTAGATGTGATATACCAGGTGTTGCCCTTGCATTTCTGCGCTTGATGATGATGATGATGATGATGATGATGACCCTTGACAATCATTTAATTCACTTACATTTGTGCAACTTGAAAAGATGATGACGATGACGGCAATGATGATCATGATGATGATGATGATCAAAATGATAGTTCGACAGCCGATATTGGTAGATGTTCTTGATGGAGAACCTTTCGCGGGTGCTTTCGGCAATTAAGCAAAAACATTATTCTTTTGAGTTGCTAATAGCGATGGCCTTCAACCTACTAGCGTTGGCCTCTAACCTACTACCGATGGCCTCCAACCTGTTAGCGATGGCCTCCAAGCTAATAACGATGGCCTCCAACTTGTGTATTTGTGTATGATTCTGTCTCTTTGTGCATATGTGCATCGCTGCAAATGCAGCGCAAGAGTTCGTTTTCATGCTGTGTCAGTTTCATGCTCACGAAGTTGGTAGTAGGTTGGAGGCCATCGCTACTAGGTTGAGATGTCCGATTTCGCTCTGAAACAGTTTCGCATCGTTGGGGGGTTCGAGGCATGTGCAGGAATTGATCGTGGCAGCTTCCGGCTCCCATTGGCCAGAGCAATGCTTGCATGGCAAGGACCGGGTCACCGCCAATAACTCCACGCCTGCGTTTGCTCACTGCCAGAGGAAGGAACAGGAAAAGACAAGAAACATGAGAGGTCTAAAGTTTAGAGGTCTGCAAAAAAGGAACAGAGAAAGGAAAAACACCATAGCTTTGTTTCAACAAGTCATTTTCTCTTGGAGACACGGGGCAGTAAGTAGTTAAGTGGATTGCATGGCGAGCTGAAGGTGGAGAGGTTAAAGGAGAGAAACGGGAAGAAGAACGCATTCTTTGGAGCAGAGAAACTTGGGGAATCAAATCTACTGGCGATGGCCTCCAACCTACTAGCGATCGCCTCTAACACGCATTCTTTCCCTCTTTTTGGAGATGTTTGTTCCATCCTATTGCGTGGAATCGACTGAGTTCTATCGATTCTTGCTAGGCTGTGGAGATCATCCTGGAACACTGCGTGGTCTTGCAACCTCAGTTGCGTCGCGAGGCTGGGAACACATGGGAACAAGCGTCATAGTGATGTCGACAACTGCAAGTCATGACTGCAGTTAATGTGAATTACGATGAAAAACACAAACAAACAATTTGTCCTTTACTTGACGAAATAGTGATAAATGGAGATAAATGGAGATAAAATGGAATATGTATTTGGCGTTCAGGTGTTTTTTTCACAGCAGGTTTTGGAGGACTTAACACCTATAGGAGCTTTCATGAGCTTTGGACTGTTGACATGAAGGGAAGGCCTTGAAATTTTAGACTTCATCCGTGGCCAAGTGATTGTCCGTTGCAAGAGCCGAAACGGCCTGACAGGGTTGATCGTGCTCCAAAGTCTTTTTGAACTCATATTGGTTTGAGCAATGAATTAAGTAAAAAATGCCTCCAACCGAATAGCTAGCGATGGTCTCCAAGCTAATAGCGATGGCCTATAAGTTTCGTTTTTTTCCTGATCGGTGGTGAAGGCCTTTGCTGAACTGCTTCTACGACTGGGCAGTGCCGGCCCAAAGGCCACTATTGCTTGTGCGGCCAGGGGCTCAGTCAGGGTTTGTGTACCAAGCATTCCTTTAAGCATTCAGAATGCTGCATTCGTAGCATTTCTTAAAGGGAAGAGAAGGATATGTTCCGATTCATAGTGCTCAAGTCCAGGACCTAAACAACAAAGTATTCATGTTAATCTTTCAACGTTTGACTATTTTCGACCTTTTTCCTCACCTTAGGTCTTGCACTTGCTGTTGAAAGCATTCTTGTAGAAACATCTACAAACCAAGAAACACATGTCTTTCTTTCCTTTTCCAAAGAAATTCCTGAAGGCCCTGAATCGCAGACCGAATTCCGCTTCCTAGGTGGCCTTGGCTCGAGGTGAGTTCACGGCACAAGCACAGGCCGACGCCGGCGACCGGGTGTCGACAGCCGTCGGTCACAGACGAGCGCCTTCCAAACCACAACAGACAATTCATCAAGCGATCATCCGCAACAATTAGTAGTTGTTTTAATTGAAGATTCTAAAGTGAACCTTGAGGTGATGAAGCGGTGCTTCTCGACCTTCTGGTCTCGCTTCCCGGACGAGGTGTGGAAATGGAACCAAATGAATAGCCTGAGCTATCCGGCGTCCAGTAGCTAGGAGCGTGTTTAGTGGCTACTCCTCCTCAAAAAGACAAAGACTAAAGTAGCGTCCTTGCTCCTAATAGCTTCTTGCTCCTAGTAGTACAGCCAGGAACCCCTAGTAGCGTCCTTGCTCCTAGTAGCGATGCCAGGAGCCCCGTTGGTAGTGTCCTCTACCCCCCCCTGGGGCAGGCCGTGGCCAAAGATCCTCGGTTCGTCACCGGCTGGGCAGGTCTTTGCGATGATGGCCGGACTTGTCCATAGGCGTCGGTGGCAGAGACCGGGGCGTCGGTGGCAGAGACTGGCAGACTGGAAGATGTATTTGTGACGAAAAGATGCCACTGGAGTGCCAGAAAAGAGGCTGAAGATGTAGTTGTGCTCGAATAATCTATTTCGGAAGTGCCGAATTTGCCTGGCTGGAGATCATAGTATTTCACGTTGCATGTTACTTTGGAAGTTCATTTGTACCTTGTGCGGAGCTAGATGCTTCCAGCACGGCCAGGTGGTTGACGGACACATTTGAGAAATAAATAGCTTGTGTGTTCCACGGTCGTGTTGACAAGACCATTCCACAGAATTGTTTGCCTTTGAACATGAGTGACACGTGTCCTCAATTTGAGCGTTTGAAGTGAATCAGAACTTTGCCCACACTCCATCGCTACTAGGTTGGAGGCCATGGCTAGTAGGAGCAAGGATGCTACTAGGGGTTCCTGGCCATACTACTAGGAACAAGAAGCTATTAGGAGCTCCTGGCCATCGCTACGAACGGAGCGTTCGGACGCTACCTTTTCCGTTGACGCTGTGCTTTTGGAAGCTCGATCCAACAGGGTCCTGAAGCTCGACGAGCCCCAAGAGGCACGGCTGGAGGAGGTTCCAGCCGGTGCACGGGAACAAGCTCATGCAGAGGAGCCCGCGAGCGCCTCCACCTGCGATGGGGTTTGGGGATCGAACGTCGAACGTGAACAAGTCGTTGGAGCACTGTGATGGCCGACCTAAGAGCGATGGCCACCAACCGAAATTGTGAATGACTGTGAATGTCGCTACGGAGTCCGTAGGAGTCCGTGCCGGCCTTTTGGGCTAGTGGAAATGGTGTTTCGTCGCGAATTCGTCCGCCACTTTCAAAGGCCAGGACCTGAAGGCCGCTTTGGCCAGGGCCCACGTTCGTGCCGGCACTGATTCATTACAGATAGTGATGATTCGATGGAATGACCTCTTGCTTTTGTGGAGGACATGGTGCACCTGGTGCTATGCCTTTTGATCTTCTGGACGATTGCAAGGGATAAAGCTGCTGAGGGTGACACTGCCGCTCGCCTCACTTGGAAGAGAGTAGGGCCCTGTCTATAGACTGGTCATCACTCCATCTTAGATTTGTCAACTGGTGAGGAGCTCCAAGCAGCTTTTGGGTGTGTTTTGACAGCAAAGATCGACTGCGACCGTAGGTCGAGCAGGCTCAAGAAGGTCTCAGGTCGCTGCTTGGGGAGGACTGTCGTTGGCCTGCAACGGGCTCATCGATGTGATCTTGAAAGGAACCCAGAGGAGGTGAGGTAGTTGAGTTGTTGGACACAAAGCACAAAACTAAAGCTAAAGGAAGAATGACAGAAAGAATGAACAGAAGGGTGGTGAAGGCATTGGCGAGCTCACTTGACAAAGCATTCTGGCCACAAGTAAGTCGAAGCAATGTCCCTCGCGTTTTGTGTAAATCCTCCAGGAGGTGCAGGCACCTGGCTTGTTGGAGATCTTGGCCGGTCTTTCCCTTGGACGGTCTTTGCATCAAACGGATATTGGATATTCGTCAAACCAAGTGAAAAGACGACCGAGAAAGAATTGGCTCAAGCGAAAAGGCAAGAAGAGATGAAGAAAGGACCAACCTCGCAAGACTTCCATGCTTTTTTTTGCCACTAATCCGATGCTTCAGAGCTTTCTGATCTATGTGGAGACCTTTGATCCTCACCCGCTTCCCCAACATGTGGATGTCTGTTTCGCGGCCGCCCTGAAAAGGCGAACGGACCGGAGCAGGTTGCATGAACACGCTTGCCTTGGACCTTCACGTGTTTGTCAAGGGCGGGTTTTCGGTGATACCAACCAATCCCTTTCTGCGGTTTGAGGCCATCGCTACTAGGAGCAAGGACGCTATTAGGTGGAGGCCATCGCTAGTAGGTTGGAGGCCATTGCACTCTGCTCCTTTTCTGCCTTGCCTTTCTTCCTTGACCACAGGCCATGGAGCAGGATGATGAGGCACCACCACCTGCAGAGCCGCCAGCAGCCCCTCCAGCAGAGCCGGAGGAGGAAGACATCACGAGCTACAGGCAACAAAACAAACAAAAGACACACACTGCAAGACAGGCACCTAGTATTTTGCCATACATGTTCACAGAGCTTCTTAGTTCCACGCGGTCTGTTGGCTTTAACTTTGGTTCCACCTGCCCCAGTCAAGATGGGATACACCATTTTGAGACACCTTTGTTGTTCGTCGCGCTTCCCTCATGAGCGGCATGTCTCGAGTCGGGCCAGTGCCGACTCATAAATAAACACGTCGCTTCAGATCACAGTCAGCATTGAAGACATTCGATAGATTTCATTCAGCGCTCTACTTAGTTGTAACAGACGTCAGTGCTGCCTGTTGCCTTCAGCTACAGCCTGATCGTTTTGTCTCAATTCTACACCAGTCGTCCAGCGAATTTGGACGCAGGTAAGCAGCAGGTTTGCTGCACATGTTGGAAAACCTTTATATAACAGCAATGGCCTGCAACTCCAACCTAATTGCACTGGCCTCCAACCGAATAGCGGTGGCCTCCAACCTAATATGCTGCACATGTTGGAAAGCATTGAAAGGTTTGAGAAGTTAGCTTCACAAGCTTGACCTCATCATCGTTTCATCGTTGTCCAAAGTGAAGCCTTGCCAATTTGCACTTCCTGATTCCATGTTACACACACAGTTCCATCATACATTGCACGGTCATCTACCATGCGGCCCCGCTTATATCGCTCACACCAGGCATTTGCTATGGGTCCTGCGTTTCCGCACAAGATATTTCCTGCAAGAATGCTGCATTGTATCCAAACCTTTGTGCTGAAGCATTTGGCAGCATCACGATTGCTTGTTTCCACAGGCCGGGTGACACCGTTCGGCGGCCAAGTAGGGCATTTGGTGTGTTTTGAATGAAGCACCTCGGCCAACCACGTGAGGTCATGACCATCCGCAAGCGAATACGAGAGGCTCGCAAGGTGCGAATTTGCAGATTGTGTTTGTTTTAGCATCCTTTCTATTCGTTACCCGTTGAGCCTTTCATCACACCAATCCATAAGCAATGGCCTCCAACCTAAGAGCGATGGCCTCCTACCTATCATTACATCCTTTCTTCAACGTTGCGGCTTTGACTATCTTTCTTCGTCGGCTCATATCTAAAACCCCAGGTGCAGCTGCTGAAGGTGCCGGGAGTTTGTGGAAAGCACCAAGTAGATCCTACTAGGAACAAGAAGCTACTAGTAACAAGGGCATTTCTACTAGTAGCAAGGACGCTACTAGTAGCTATTTGCTCCTAGTAGTAATGCCCTTGTTACTCGTAGCGATGCCCTGTTCCTAGTAGCGTCCTTGCTCCTAGTAGGTTGAAAGCATTCTGTCGCCTTTGTATTTTTCAACTCAGTTCGCATCAGTGAGGTGTGCGTCTCAGCATTGCGATGTCAGGAGCAGCGCGAGATGCAGGAGATGCGCGCCAAGTCGCCGCTCCACTCGAGGCCGAGTCCGAGTCAGTTCGGTGCGGAAAAAGGTCGCACTATCATAAAGTCGTCGAGAGAGATTCTAGCGTGGCACTTGTTACTACTTGCAGGAATGACATCATAAACCAATCCGATATGGAAGGATTGTGTTTATCTATTTTTTCAGTACGTGCAAGTACAGAGTCTCGTGAGTACAGAGTCTAGAGTTCTTCTACGAGACGCGACACGTTTTGGCACACTCTGAGAGAAACCCTTAAAATTCCTTACTAGTAACAAAGGGCATCACTATTAGGAGCAAGAAGCTACTAGGGGCTCCTGGCCTTACTACTAGGAGCAAGGACGCTACTAGGAACAAGTGCATCGCTTCTAGTAACAAGTGCCTTACTAGTAGCAACAAGAAGCTACTAGTTCTGAGAGAAACGTTCAGAGATTGCAGGATGCCGCTGGTGCCTTGCCCTGAATGAGTGACGAGTGACCCTTGGGTGAAGCTCGTGCTTGATTGGGGTGTGATGCCTTTTTGTGCATGTTTGGATTCGGAAGACACATAGGAAGAAATCAAGGTATAAATTATACAAGCCCTAGTAGCATCCTTGCTCCTAGTAGTAAGGCCAGGAGCCCCGAGTAGCGTCCTTGCTCCTAGTAGCGATGCCCTTTGCTCCTAGCGAACATTGCTCCTACCCAAATGTAAGAACAGAAATCAATCCTCTGGGGGAGGTTCCTTGAAGAAGCTTTCGCCCTTTTGCATCAGCATTTAGAGCTACAAGTAGGACCTTAGGAGTGATCTAAGCTACCAGTAGCTTCCCCTTTACACCTCTCCTCCCCGGCCGGTCTTCACCGGAAAAGAAGAAAAGACAATGGTCAATCACCCAGCCAGCCAGTCTTGCCCACGGTTTGCTCATGGTTTGCGTGCTTTGTTTTTGTTTGTTTCTTTTCTCGGAATTGTCCGTGAAGACCAGGTGCCAGAAGCAAAGGCCAGCGACAGCGGACGTAATTGGCTGTGCAAGGATGAAGAACGCGAGGTCTTCCAAGCAACAGGAAAGGCCCTTTGGCATGTCTTTTTTATCCAGCGATGGCCCCGACCCTAGCGATGAATGGCCTCCTTCTCTGAACAAAAGCACCCGGACTTTACGCTTTCGATCGGCAGGTCACAGAGGCGGAGGCGACGTGCTCCCACTGGGCGGGCGGGGGTGACCAGCTCGGGAATCCGGAGGCCTTCAGCTTGAAAACGAACACAGTTGGTCGGGTCGTTTGTCCTTGTTTGGGGCCTTTGTTTCTTTTTTTTTCCGTCCTTTCTTTTGAGGGTCTTTGTTGAGTTTTTCTTGGATTTGACTCTGTCCAATCCGGTGGTTTCATCATCGTTTTGGACGGCGTCCGATATTCCTGCACCTCAGAGACCAACAACCGACCTACGCAGGATCGTCCACCCACATTTCACCCACATTCATTGTGATACACGTCCACTCAACGATATCACCTGCATCGAGGCGCATGAGCTAGCTCAAGAAGATCAAGGTCGAGAGAGCTTGGGGCGCGCTTGCGCACGTGTCAAGGTGATGAGATGAGGTGAGAAGAATGTCATGAGGGGTTTGTCATTATTGGGCAAAGGGCCAGGCCCAATTGAAGCCTAGCAGGGTGTGTCAATCAGTTGACAGAACTGAATACTGCAACGAGATGTTTCTATGGGTATGCTTTTCCTTCTTGAGGCCCTTGTGAGGGCTTACTTGCTCTTGCTTTCGATGCGGACTTTTCTCGCTTTTCTCCGCACTCACCTGGCCGTTGGCATTCTTTCATCCACTCTCGCGACAAAACTAGATATCTGGACATGTGACATATCTGGAATGTCTTTGTATCGCATGGGTCTTACAAAATGTTGCTGGAGAAAATCCAGGAATGAGGACATGCGCGGTAGTTGTTGTGCCTTTGATGAAACCAAACAGTCTCCATGCCAGGTGCTGGCATGAGCAATGGCAGGCGGCCGCTCCAGAAGGCGTCCGCATGGTCCGGTCTGCACTTGATTAACGTGACAGCAGACGCTTTGTTACTAGCGATGGCCTCCAACCGAGCGCTTTGTTACATGGCCTCCAAAGGGATCAGTAGCGTCCTTGCTCCTAGTAGTATGGCCAGGAGCCCCTAGTAGCTTCTTGTTCCTAGTAGCGATGCCAGGGGCCCCTAGTAGCGTCCTTGCTCATAGCGATGGCCTCCTGAGCGTCTTGGGGCTGTTTGTGGAGACTCAATCGTTGCCCCAGCCCGACCGCTGCATCCAAGGGCCCCAGATCCAAGACGCGGCCCATTTGTCGCTTCCCTGTGGCATCCACAAGATCCAACCAATATGGTGGTTAGTGGTTTATGGAAAGGGTGGATCCTCTTAATAATCGGGTGCCACTTGAGGATCACCGGGACAGAGTAAACCAACATTGAATTTGGAGCAATAGCATTTTGAATTAGGTTGGAGGCCATTACTACTAGTAACAAGCTTTTCTATTATGCATTTGGAACGTGCTCGAGGTGGGATTTTCTAGGTTGTGAGGTCAGGGAATTCTCGGCCTATTAAGTAGTAGTCTTTTCCTTGTGCCTGTTAAGTTTCTGTCACGTAGAAAGACTCACGAAAGACTCGCGGTTTACGGATGGTTCGCGAGTTGTGGTCGGGCCCATCTGTCTCTTCCCTGTGGCTGGAGAGAGAGATGAGGATAGTGGGGATAGAGACACTGCACTCTCTCCTTGGCCGAAGGTGGAGGGCTTCCACAAAGACCTCATACGGAAAGAGGTGAGGCATCGGCGGGTAGTGCTGTCTCTGCTCTTTGCATAGTCTTATGATGTACGCTAAAGCTAGTTCTGATGACACAGCAAAACATAAAAAATGCATAAACAATGCAAAAATAATGCAAAACCAATCCCGAAAAAAATGCACAGAAAACGCAAAAACAAGTCACCAAAGGATGCCTTGGAATGCAAAAAAAAAGCAAAACCAATGCGAAAAAAACGCATTTGTCCACTAAACCAATGCAAAAAAACGCACAAAAAATGCAAAACAAATGCACAAAAAATGCAACAACAATGCACAAAAAATGCAAAAACATGCAATCAAAAAGCAAAACGAATGCGATCAAAAACGTTCTGGTCTTTGCCTTTGCATTTTTTGCTTTGTATTTGCGGTTTTTTTTTTTGCGATTTTTTTGCAGTTTTTGTGCGTTTCCTTGAGACAACGAAAAAAATCGCAAAAAAAACGCACAAAAAACGCACAAAAAATGCAAAAAAACAT